TGAAAGCAGAGTCTACATCAGAAAAACCAGCTAAGACTCTCCCTCAGATTCCCTCCTGTAGCAAAATGACAACTCCTAATTCTCTAGAGAGAGAGACTGAACAGTAAGAGACTAAGAAACAACTTGGAGAAGGGAGACTTGAGGGGAAAGATCTTACAGAGAAAATAGGGTAAAATCAAAGGGTATGCTGAGTAGCTACGTGGTAACAGAGTCCCTACCTTTTCTCTCAACTAGGGCAACTGATCACTTGTACAATTAAAAAAAACATTTTAAGTGGAACTAAATTATCAATAGAACTAAAAGAGTGATTGCCTATGAAGAATAAATAGAGAAGGAAAGGGATAGGACATGACTGGTACTTTTTAGAAGCTGTAGCAAAAAAAAAAACAAAAACTGGTTGTTGCTGTAATATCCGTTTTCGTCCTTCCTTACTAACAGAATCATAGGCAAGAATTGATCAGGAAAACCTAAAAATTTGGAAAGAAAACATCCTAACGTTCTTTTCACATGGACATAACGAAACAAGCTAGAAGGAGCAAGACTTAGGGTAAGCTCCTTTTCACTTACACCACAGGGATGCCCTGTTCCAATCAACTGGAAGTCAGATGTAATAGCTAGAATTGCAGCAACTATCTTGGATCATGAAACAAATTTAAGTCTAGAAGACAAGGATGATTGATAAGAAAGAGTAAATGATAATACAATAATGGCAGGGTCAACATATAATCCCTGACTGTTTATTAACAATACTCTTTACCTGAGAAATAAATCCCTACCGTGTTTAAGCCAGTTAAGTCAGGTCTCTATTAGTCAAAAAGAATTTGTGATATTTAGGCCTTATGTGACTTTTTTAGACTATGTGCACTGATAAAATTAAGTTAAAAGGTAACTCCAATTAACAGCCAAAATTGGTGAAAATGTACTATATAGCCTATTTATAAGGCTAGAAATATATTAATTCTATACAAAGACCAAAAGATAAGTTGTTTTCTAAGACAATTAAATTTAAATTTCTCCAAAGTAAGAAACATTCACATATCTTTTACAAAACAATGAGGCAGACCCTTTTTTTCTGTTAAAACTGTCTCTTACACAATACTTGCATAAAATTTAAGAAACATTAAATTTTGCCACAAATAGCATTACACACATAAAGAACTCAGAGTCCTAAAGTAAAGGTTTAGTGGAGTTTCTCAACTAGGTACTACTGTTACTTTAGACCAGACAGGTCTTTGTTCTTGGAGCTACCCTGTGCCCTATAGGGTGTTCAACAGCATCTCTGACCTCTTATGCTCCAGCTGCTGGTCATGACAACCATATATATTTCAAGGGTGAAAAGTGTCCCCTTCAGGAAAGGAAATCTTTCCTTTTCAAAAACACTTGCCATAAAGAAAATGTAGTTGTTTTGCAAACCATTGTGCTTCATCAGGAGCACTGGGTTATAAACAGAATGTTTATTAACAGAATAGAATTTTTAAGAATTGTTACATTCTAATTTTTCTTTAAAGTTTAGTGTGGGATACAATCTATAAATTACAGATTAGAGTATCTCTAATGCTTCTCTTAAACCCTCAGAAGATTTCACATGACTGACATATTAATAGCTTCTATCTATTTAAGCCTCTCTATGTGCTAGGTACAGTACTAAGAACTTTATGGTCATTCTCCCATTTTATACATCCTAATGGGATGGCTATTGCACCAGTTGTAGTACATAGTAATTTTCAAGTCTATTTTCATTAACATATCACAGTGTTTCCAGAAATATTTATTTACTCACTATATTCATTCTGGCACCAAACTAAGAATAAAGTATCTTAATTTGCTTAGTTTACAAGTTATGACAACAAATATTTTTCAATTTATTGTTACCTGCAGGAATTGAGGAAATGTTTACAGCAACTAGCAAGTCAAAAGACACAAGGATGCTCTGTTTCTCAAATTATTTTTTTTTAAACCACTATGGCATAATGAAAGAGTACTTTCTAAACTTTTTAGCTGTGATTCCTTGAATACTTTCAGGAACATTGTTCTTGTTTCTTTTGTACCAACTTGTCCTCCCCCTCAAAAAAATTCACTGTATAATTATTAGAGGATTTATTTGTAATTTCAGTTTGGCTTTCAATAGCTATTGAAGGTTGGGTTCAGATCCCAGCTTGTTTACCCTCTGGAATCTAAGACAAGTTAACTTGTTCACCCCTCACTTTTAACTATGTAAACTGATACCTCAAGGTTAAGAGTTAATAGGCTCTCAATAAAAGTTACTTCCTTTCTCTTTCATCATCAAAGCAAATTAACTATGAGTTAAGGAACAATACACTTAAGCATTTATCGAGAGTCTACTACTGTCAAGGGCTAAGAGAGGGTGTGATAGGGGCAGTTATCCAACTTCACACTGTGTCTTCTGATAAAAGACGAAAGAAACTCTTCAAAAGAAGACTTCCTAACTCTATCCCTTTACTCATTCAACTACTAAGAAACTTTGATTCATACTTCACTCCAAAAATTGTAGCCTTTCTTTTCAATTCCATGGGCTGTATATATAATTCATATAGTTAACTGTCACCTATCCAAGTGTATATTACCCATTTTAAGGATTATTCATGATTAAGTAGTTTACTAATGAAAGCAAGTTACTTAATATTAGCTTCCATAAATATTAAGAAAACAGTCTTTAAAAAGAGACAATCGATGGTAATTAGGCTATATAACCCACTGTTTTCCTCACTGATAAATAAAACAATTACTACAGTAGAATTCTAGTAAGTGATAGATAAAAATGATTCTTTTATTCCATCTAGAAGTTTGAATGTGAGGGCAATCTAACCAATGTATAAATACAAGCCTATTTGGAATTGTCACAACGAATCCCGAATGTACAACAAATATATCCTAAATGTAAAAAAGAACTTCACAAAGCTCACCTGCAAGGTGGAACCAGAATAGGAACACAAATAACAGATAATTTAATTTAGAGTATTATAAAATGTGTAATGAGGTTTCAGGTAAACGTTAGTAAAAGTTCAGTTTTACTTCCTTGGATATTCAGGAGACAGAATTTTATGACATCTTCAGTTTCATTTGTTCTTAAAATATTTCACTGCTGATAATCAGACTTTCTTGGGGGGCGGGGGAGTTCTGGGTCTTGCAGTGTAGCCCAGGGTGACCTCACCATCCAGTGCCTCTGTCTCCCCAAGTGCAGACACTGTTTTTCACTGGCTAAATTTGTCCTTAAAATTGATTTCAACAAACAAAACAAGAGTAGTTAAAAGTTCTCCAAAAATGTTCTGGTAAGCAAATAATACTTCAAATTCTCAGCAAAAAGGGCTACCTGATCCAATAAATTAACAAAACTAATGTAACCAAAACCAGGCTAAAGGTGCAGCTTAGATTGTGACTTCAATCCCCAGCAGAAAGAGGAAAGAAAGAAAAGTGTAAACAGAGCCAAGTTTTTCCTTAGTGATATAAAAAAGCAAAACAGAAAAACGCAAAAACATTTTTGCCACTGAATACATTCAAAATACCAATTGTATTCTAATTTTCATAAGTTTAAAATTCCTGTAGATACAAAGTCTACCAAAAGTATGGTGTCTCGATGCTGAAGAAATTCATACATCCTTTATGCCAAGACAGTTTCAACTTTCAAACCAATTTATCTGTGACGTAAGTGAAAAAAGTAAAAGCAAGACAAATTTAAGCATTAAAAACTAACTTAAAAATATCAACTTCATCCTTTTTCTTTCAATGCTTATAGTAGCATAAAACCAAATGTCAGCAAATATGATGGTTATTTCTTGCTAGCTTTATTTCATACTTGTTACCAGAATGAAATTAATAGCTAACTGAAACAAACACTTTATATTTACTCATTTAACTACTGTCCTTACTGATAGAAGTGCAAATTAAGGCAAAGAGTGTATGTAACCTGTATTAAGGCAAAGAGTGTAACCAGCTAAAAAGTGGTTGGAAGAATTTGAACCCTATACATCTGAGATACACAAGTTTTAAAAAGGGTAGGATGAAAAAAGAATTTTTTTCCAAAGCAGTTTGCAAAAAGCAACAGTGTTGTGAATGAAAACAAAACACTTAAGTTACAAATGTATGTAGATAAGAACACTCAAACTTTATCCCTAAAAAAGGCTGGTACGGAACTACATCCAATCCTAATGGCAGTAAAGGAAGTAATTTACTACCGCCACTGCTCCACCACTGAATCTTAAATGCTAAACAAAATACATTGTAATTTAAAGAATGGGTGGAGTGCTGTAACAGGAGCAACAGTTAAGGAAAACGACTTCTCTCTTAGCAGTTAATTAGGAAACAATGCATGTATCAAGGGAAGGGGGTAAAGAAAAGATGACAATCGCAATCCCTTAACCCACCCCACCCCCCCGCGCCAAGAAAAAGTAACTAACCATGGGTCAGCGCCAAAGCCAATGGGAAAAGGGCCCAATAGCATCTTGGGAGAGCTTGACAGGAGACCCTAGCACAGAAGAGGTGGCGATGACAGGAGAGGAGGCGGTAGAGACAGGGCACGCCTCCAATCCCCGAAAAAAATCAAAATACCGGGCGAGGAGGAGGGAAGAGGCGGGGAGGGAACGCAGAAAATGTTACCAGAGCTTCCAAATGAAGTGAGAAGGAGCAGGGTAGGAAACGGGAAAGGCGGGACCCTCGGGCAGGAAGGGGTCTGTTTGGGCTAGGGGAGGCATGTCAGGACAGCGTTCTGGCCAGCTGACTCCCTGGCTCTCTAGCCTCTCTACCCCAACAAACTCACTTTCTCTGCAACCCTAAGTCCGTAATCACCCCCGTCCGGCTCCCCGCCCCCTCCCCAAGCCGGGAAGGTGCAGGCAGGGGGGCAACGAGGGCTTCCCCCTCACCCTCCTTGTTGGGCTGCAGGATCGGAGCCCGGACACAGCCCAGATTCGTGGACCAGAAGGCCAAGAGACGCAGAGAGGCCCAGGACCCGGGTGACAAGTCCGGGCGGCCGACGGGCGCCTCACCTGACAGAAGCGTCGGCAGTAGTCCCGACTGCTGATCCCGACTCCGCCACCGCAGCTGCCACGGCCAGCGTCGCCTCTGCCATCGCACGAAGCTCTAAGCCCTGCAGGGCCCGGCGGGGACTCCACAATGGCCACGAGCTCTTCTCCGAGGCGCTCGGCCTCTTGGTCGCTCTCTTCCTCCGCCATGAGGCTCTCGCCGCCCAGCGCGTACCAGCCCCTGCGCCGCCGCCGCTGTAGCTGCCTCGGCTAACCTCCTCCTCCTCTAGTTCCCTCCCCCTTCCCTCCGCCCCAGCCGGACGGGCCACTCGGCTGGGCTCTACTTCCGGTTCCGCCCACCCACGCCCCCAGTTTTTATTGAAGAACCTAACTGCCAATCATACTCATACCCGCCTTTCCAGCACTATTGGCCAATGCAGCCGTCTGTTTGCGAGGCCGGCCTTCTGTTGGTCAATGCTGCTCGGCGGTTGCTGAGGACTGCCTACGGGCTCTGCCATAGGCGGTGCAAGAGGACGGGGCGCGGCGGGGGACACGGCGGCCGCCGCGGGGCTTGATCCGACGACGACGGCGGCGGCGGCTGCGGCGGCGACGGTCCTCTTCCTCCTCCCTTACACCATTGCTCCTCCTTTTCTTCCTTTCTCTTTCCTTTCCAGCCGGGCCTCGACCACTTCCTCTAACAGCGGCCCCGATCCTATGGTACCAAGGAGCTAGGGAGATGGAGGGTGGGCCTGGCGGTTGCAGTGGGGCTGTGGGCCCTGGGCCTACAGTCCCCAAGTGGGAGCCGGAGGCGGGGCGGGGCGCCGTTGTCGGCGGGAGGAAGAGGGAGGAGACGGGACGCCTGACAGAGGCCGCCCCCGCCAGGCGCCTGCCGCCTCATCCCCTGAGATGTCGCCAACTTGGCTGTCGAGTTCCCGGGCCCACTGCCGGCACCTGGGACGCGGCCCTCCCCGGCTAGCGGGGTCGAGGTGGTGGGGCGCTGCCTTGCTGGGCTTGGCGCGGGAGGAGGGAGTCGAGACGCCAGAAAGTCCCGCGCCCCGCCCTCCCCGCCCCCAGCCCGGGCCTGCGGAGCGCGGGGGCTCGGCGGCGCGGGCAGCCAGAAGTGCTGGGGCGGGAAGTGGGACGCGGTAAACGTTGGGCCGGGTTGTGGTGTGCAGTTACCTCGAGAGCGAGTTTACAGACACCTGCGTGGTAGCTGTTGATGTTCTTACAATTTTTCTCAACTCCCCTCTCCTTCCCCTCCTCCATTTTTCCCATTTGTTTTTTCGTGTTTTACAGTAAAGGCATGACTTCCCGGCACCGCAGGGAAAACGGGGTGCAAACCCAGAAATTATTTTCCCACCACCACTTGTTGAAAAACTGATTTGAACGCGTCTGAGGGTTTGAACTAACAGCAAGTGCCAGGATTTGATGAGTCTCTGGTTTTGCACTGGAGACCCTTCACTAAGTATCAAGAAAAAAACTGGAAACTAATCCGGTAAACATTTAAACTTGAAAACTTCTGTTTAAGCTTTGTTTTGTTCTAGTAAATTATTTGCTGCTTCTGTTTTGTTAGCTAGGAAGTTCCTGCTCTGAACTTTTTAACTTCCTCATTTGTTTAAAATATCTTTGTCTTTTATTGAAAACACTTTCGTTCTCTGGATATGTAAACTGGTATCTACTCCTCTCATGGGTAGATATTCCCTCTGCAGTTAACATGAACAGACTTTATGCACGTTACAAGACGTTGGAAAGTATAGGCCTTTCCCATTAGCAGAAGTGATTGAGCTTTTATCCTACAAAAAATTACATATTTATTGTCTCAAAGTTTGAAATTCAAATATTTAAGCATAAAAGACTTTTCTCATAGAAAGTAAAACTTAAGCGTTACTGGATGCAGATAGCTAATGTTTGTCATAACCACCTTAGAGCCATTAGTCATAATCAGGACTGGCTTATTACAGGAGTATAAGGTGTATACCATTAACTTTAAGTGCAACCATCTGTAATGATAATTCACTACTAGGGAGGAATCATAGATGTTTTCTCTGCCATTGCAAATTTATAGACTAACACAATATCTGGTAAATGGGAGCCATTCACCAAAAGAAATTGTAATGGAATAAACAGAATTCTAACCTATTAAAATTTCATACTTTCCAGAATTCTCATAAATTGTTAAGTCTTTTTGGTTTGAGTACGCAGATGTGTAACATGTTGACAATTTAAAGTTCTTTTGAGAGAAATTTCATGTTACCCAGCAGTTAATTCTTTTCTATGGGTTAATGCAATGGAATGCTCCATTGTTTGTGATTACACTTGTAAAGCATAATTCTTCAGAACAAGCATCTTTAACATATTTGTAGAAAATAGAATTCCATTTGAATTCTGTTAGATTCATGTTGATATCTTAAATCTTGGTTACTTTAAGAGCTTAGCTCAAAGGCAAAGCACTAGGGAAAAAATTCAGACTTATTTATTCATTGTCTCAGGTTTTCAGTATCCATAATGATATGAAATTGACAGTCCAATGATCATAAGTTTGTTATTATGGTAAATTGAGAAAGTATTAAGCTCTTTAGATGCATCTTTCCTTTTTTTTTTTTTTTTCTTGGCAGTCCTGGGGATTAACCCAGGGCTTAGCTCATGGTGGGCAAGCACACTATACCACTGGGCTATATCCCCCAGCACTTCATTTATTTTTTTCCATCAACAGGTTTTAATCATTGTCGCATAGCACCATATTAGTTCTTGATTTTTTGTCTAACTTAATAGTGAGAAAATTATTAGCAAATAAATTTTATGGAAAAAGAAAACCAGTATTGAAGAAAGAACACTTTGCATATCTTGATTATCACCTTTCAGAAAACAGAAAAGGTATACATGCTTGAAAAAATAACTTATTTTGAGATCTATTGGCCATAAAATTTAATGTCCTTGTTGCTGTTAGTTTTGTGTATGTTATTTTTTAGTTTTTACTTGTTTTTCTTCTCAGAATAATTTTAGAAGTTACATCCATGTTCATATAGAGTTAGGCTAGTTCAGTGGCCCACATGTTAAACTATGCACTTGAGTTCCTGAAATCCATTGCCTCTGAATTAAAGATCTTTCACTTGCCCTAAAAAGTTTTGCTTTCCCTTAAATATTTCAGATAAGATTTCATAAACACACCCCTACCAATTAAGGTTTTATTTGTGTGTGTGTGTAAGAGAGAGAGGTATTTGGGATTAAATGAATTAGCTTATGTGAGGTGTTTAGTCTTAAGATGCTTATACAGTGTCTTCTATTAACTACTTCAGAATGAACTATTGTCATAATACTTATCTTTGTTTCTCTTGTCTTGAAAGAACCTTATTCAAAGTCAGAATGGAACGATTTGTAGTAACAGCACCACCTGCTCGAAACAGATCTAAGACTGCTTTGTATGTGACACCCCTGGATCGAGTCACTGAGTTTGGAGGTGAGCTGCATGAAGATGGAGGAAAACTCTTCTGCACTTCTTGCAATGTGGTTCTGAATCATGTTCGCAAGTCTGCCATTAGTGACCACCTCAAGTCAAAGACACATACGAAGAGGAAGGCAGAATTTGAAGAGCAGAATGTGAGAAAGAAGCAGAGGCCCCTAACTGCATCTCTTCAGTGCAACAGTACTGCGCAAACAGAGAAAGTCAGTGTTATCCAGGATTTTGTGAAAATGTGCCTGGAAGCCAACATCCCTCTTGAGAAGGCTGATCACCCAGCAGTTCGTGCTTTCCTGTCTCGCCATGTGAAGAATGGAGGCTCCATACCTAAGTCAGACCAGCTGAGGAGAGCATACCTGCCTGATGGATATGAGAATGAGAATCAGCTCCTCAACTCACAAGATTGTTGACAAGGAGGTTATCACCATTGTAATCAAGACAAATAATGTGGAGTATTAAAGTTATGTGTTGATTGTGTGGTTCATTTTTATATTTATTTCATTTAAAATCATGTGATACAGAATAGTTTTGCAATGTGTATATAGTTGCAGGCAAAAAAAAAAAAATCTCACTGCAAAACTTAATGATTTTAGTCACCAATGGTATAAAGCAAAATTTAGGTATATAGAGTATAGGGTGCCTGAAACCTCATGGTTATCTTTATTGATGGTTTTTCTCCTAAGATGTTTGTGCATGGAAAAACTACCTTGCTTTTTTAAATCCTGTTGCCATGTATGATTATTTCTTGTGAGATTACTTAATTATCTGTATTGAAAAGTAGCCTATGAGATTGAAGCTGCTGCCAGACAACACCATTCATAGTAACTTCAAGGAATTGTTTCTGAGTAGAGGAGCCTCTTCAAAATGGAAAAGAAGGTGGAAACTGTTCCTATATCTTGAGATCTAACAGAAATGACAGTTCATTTCAAACTGTTTTATTTGTATATGAAATAATGAACCCTTGAGTTCCTCACTGTCTCCACCTTTTTAAAGACAATTGTATTTAGTAGCAGCTTCAAGTGACCAAAAGACTAAAATCTTACTTTGTCAAAATCCATAGGGAATTTTGCAGTGACAAGATTTTAGTCTCTACTATGAACAAATTTTTGAACTATAGCTTTCATTTTAAGCATTATCTTAAATTTGCAAACTTTTTTATACCTTGGTATTTAAAAGAAACCTTCAGGACTGACAATTTAAGCAAGTAGACATTTTATGGTTGAGTTTCTTTTTACAGAGAATTAGTTACTTTTCAGCTGACAGATCATATAATAAGGAAATTGCTTTCTATACATTAACTTTTCCATAAGATTTTATAAGAGTTTTATTTAGGTAAATAGACTAGACTAGAAACAAGTCAACTTACTTTCACTTTTCAATGCTTTGCCTCTTGTGGTACAAGGTTTTTGGACTTGGATGGTAACAGTTGTCAGAAAATCTGGCTGTATTTTTGTTGTGGAGATATAGCAGTATCTTGCTTGGCTGTTTGGGTGAAGAAATAATCAGTTCTGTTAAAGGTCATACGTGTTCAGTAAATTACATGTATCTGAACATCACTATCCAGGAAGAGTATCGTAATAGTTTGGCCCAGCTAAGTTCTCTCCCATCGGAGGTCAAAACTATATTCTTTAAAAATTTAACAGCTAAAAACTCAGACTACAGCTTTAATGAGAAATCTTACATTATTTGAAAACACTCAAGTTGGAAATATTTGTAAGATACATTTCTATTATGAAACTGATGTGATGCCCTATGTGACACAGAGGGAGTTATCTTTGAGGTCATTTTGCCACAAACCTTCATTAAAAAAAAAAAAAAGCCAAAGTGAATAAGAAAAATAATACAATTCATATTTTTAAGAGAAAATATTCTCTCAAATGTCTTATAGACAAGTTCCTAATTTAGGTTGTCAGTGTGACCATTTGAGTTTAGATTTTGGTTTTTAATTTTAAAAAGCCTGCTACCAAAAAGAAAATCACTTGTCAGAATTTGAAGTTTGAATTTTTCTCATGTTTGGTTATGTTAAAGTTACACAATAAATGCCTACAGTATCGCAGTCATTGGTAAGCATACACATGAGGAGACCAGCAGCAAAACAACCAAAACCCATTTTGCTTTTCCTCTTGGAAAAAATTTGCAGGCAACTATGTTCAATTTGAATTATCCAAGGTAGTGGGAAATCTAAGAAGCTAGAAAAGTAATTGAGTTGTATAGAACAATTTTCAGAATTTTAAAAAGATATGCAATCATTCTGATTTTTTAGAATTCTGCAAAATTCAGACTGATCCCTATTGTTTCCTTTTAATTTGCACTATCAATAAATATATAGTGGAGAAACAGCTTTTAGTGGCACAGTAAACTGGTTGATAATACACCAGAAAAACTTCAGTAATTCACAGTTGAGTTTCTGGTAGGTATTACTGATCTGATGGACATTTAAGTTCTATATAAATGTATTTTTCCAGGCTCCTAACTGTTCCCACCTTGACCATATCTAGGGGCATAAGTCATTCTGTTAGGGTTGTATCATGTCCTCAGAATGAGCTTTCCATCTTGTGGCAGTTGATATTAATGTTTCTTTGCTGATTATAAAATTTTTGTTCCCTGAAACCGGTTAACTTTGTCTCATAAACTAAAGACAGAATGATTGTTTTAGCCTGCTTAAACTGGTACAAATTTGTGGATCCATGGTTAGCATATGTTAGATAACAAATTAGAGTGTCCAAGAGGCATGTGCTGCTTTGGAGGTAGAGTGAACAAGTGTGCAGAAGCTCTCAGTCTTAACTATATAGTGTTAGTGTGATGCTATACTATTGAAAAATAGGGGTTTTTTCTATTTTATAAGTTGTATGCATAAACATAAGATTTGTAATGTTTCATTTATAAACTGCCTTCAACACATGCTTACCTGTTAATAGTGTTTTCTCCAAGTATGGTAGTATGTCTTCCAGAATTTCACTGTGTGCTTACAGTAAGTAGTTCTAGATTGTTGAAATGTTGAATTTCTTGTTGGTTTCTTTTTGATTATATTGAGCATATAGCAAGCCTGAAGGACATTGTAATCATTTTTTTACAGGGTGAAAAGTTAGAAAGATTGTGTATGAGAGCCTATATAGTTACTTTATCCATTATCGTCTTTGATTAATTTTTTTTCTTTTTTTAAACAAATGCTACTTCCATTTAATGCCTTTGGCCCTATAGAATTTTCAGGGACCAGAAAACTTTGAAGAAAATGTTTTGCATCTTCTCATAACCATTAAGTGTCAGCTTGATATTGTTCTGTAGTATTATTTGCATAAAAACTATTATAAGTACAGTTGGCAAGATTTCCAAGCTGAAAGTACCAT